TTATGAATCTTGCCCCTTTTGAAAGAGAATATATGCAACTCAAAGATCATCTGTATTGTTTCTCATTTGTTTTTCTGCCCCTTCATGTAATTTATAGACGGAGATCCGATTTTTTAAAAAAAAATATAGATGGATATCCAGCTTAAGTTGCTACCTTTTTCTTCTAAAGTTTAAATTAGATGGACTTCCTTTTAAAATACAGAAACTACTTAGTAATGCATTAGACTTGAAGGGTGCAAATTTGGAGAAAAGGAGTACTATATTTTTGTTGTTATTTCGACATAAGGAATAAACAAGTGCTTCTTTACTAGGTCTATAAATATGAAAAAAGCAGCACTTTTCTGAGACATAAGTTCATTTGATTTTGAGGAAGTTTGGAGTTCTATAGCATTTTGTTTTCTTTCATGCAGGATACCGAGAAATATTGGGGTATCAATACCAATGAAAGCAACTTTCTTTATGACATATATAATGGTTGATGGTTGGGCTGGTATTGCTGGTGAAATTCTCAGATTGAAACCTCTGGTTATTTTTCATCTTAAGAACATGTTCCTTGTGAAAACTGAAAGGGACGTGGAGAGAGCAATGGACCCCGGGAGCGTAGATTTTCCCGAGACACTTCCAAGTCTTCAACTATACTTTCTTCTGGGAATAGTATATGCTGTGGTTACTCCAATCCTTCTTCCTTTCATACTGATCTTCTTTGCCTTTGCTTATCTCGTTTACCGTCATCAGGTTAGTCGTTATCCTTTTATTTGTTTTCTTTTTAACTTGTCGATTTGTTTATAAACCTTATTAGAGCACATAGCTCTTAGTAGCTCTTTTTGTATTGAAAGCAATTTATAAGAGCAATTCATTGCATCAGTGATCAAACATTGAGTAACCTAAAGATTTGTGTGCCATTTTATGGGGAATGTAGTTTGAGTGTTCACAACAATATCCATGTTACCGTTTTATCAATTTTATGAATATATACAGGGAAATTTTGTCACTTAAATTTCCTTCTGTATGGAGAGTATTAGTTACATTATTGAAGTTAGAATCGGTACAGGTGACAGAAAAAGATAGAAGGAATAGGGGGAAAATGTTCTAAATAATGAATGCCACCAGAAAAGAACAACATTAAACTCGATGATCTATGCAACAAAAAATTGAGCCTCTGTGAATTTTCAATGAGAATATTCCTCAATACGTTTTGTGAGTATTGATACAGATAAGATTGACGTAATAAAAGCACAGAATATCCCTCAACTACTTCAAATTATCATAAGAATTATAAAGTCATTTTCTAATCATGGACCAACAAAGTGACTGATCAATAAAAATTCCACTAAAAGTTGTGGTGGGGTAGTAAGTACCCTTGTCTTCTTAACTACAGGTCTCGGGTTCAAGCCCTGTGAATGGAGTTGCCTAGGTAGGGAGTGTGTTACACTCAAAGTAGGACTTCCCTGTGCGAAACTGGATGCCCCAAAGCAGGTACCGGGACACTGGGTTGGAAACAAAAAAAGTCGTGATTCACGACTCATGGGAGTATAAATTGAGACGTTAGCTTTTCATTTTTTAACTAAAGGTATATCAGTTTCAGTAGAAAGTGATGAAAACAATTTATGATTAAAAAAGGTTAAAATCTCACTTCACTCATACGTAAAAGTTAGTAAAACAATACAATTTCAAAGCACATGTGAACAAACCAGCAATACTAAAATCTCTAAAATTTACGTATGATGAAAGACTAATTCTGGATCACGAGTCCTTTGTATTGCTAAAATAAGGGTCGGCAAAATTGTGGGAGTCTCAATTTCCATTGCTTGATGTTAAATAGTCCAATATAGGGACGAAATAGTATCCTTTTTCAAGAACATAGCTTTATATGGTGTATTCATCATCCATGATTTCTGATTGTTAGTTTGTTTTATGCAGGTAATTAATGTGTACAACCAACGTTATGAAAGTTGTGCTGCGTTCTGGCCCCATGTTCATGGGCGCATTATAGCAAGCTTAGTAATATCTCAACTGCTTCTGATGGGTCTGTTGAGCACAAAGAAAGCTGCAAAGTCCACCCCGTTCCTCGTGGTGTTGCCTGTTTTAACCTTAACATTTCACAAGTATTGTAAGAGTCGATTTGAACCTGCATTCAGAAAGTATCCCATTGAGGTAACCTTCACTTGCTAGTCATATATTGCATCTTTCTCAACACATTTCTGGCATATAACACATGCTTCCGTTTCTTCATATTTCTCCGTGATGAATCTTGCGACCACTTCATTTAAAAGCTTTAGTTGACAGAGGAGCACACTTTTGTTTATTAATTAGAGGGAACTTTGTCTAAAAGCTTAAGCAGATAGAGAGAACATCCACTAGTCTATGTACTTGTATCGTCAACAAATAGTAACGGAATAACATCTCACGTCTCTCCTATGTTCATGATCATTTTCAGGAAGCAATGGAAAAGGACTTGCAAGACCGATCTTCTGAATCTGACACCAACTTGAAAGCATACTTGGCTGATGCATATCTACATCCTATATTCCACTCATTTGAAGAGATTGAACTGGAGGACGTTAAAATCGACAAAAAGCCTCCTCCTGACAGCCCCAGCCCCCCGTTGAGTGAACTCAGCTCTCCATCCCCAACTCATGACGCCAAAGATCATAAGGAAGTCGAGCCATCTGGGACGTCTCAAACATCTCATAACGTCCAGCACTATGAAGTTGGACAACCAGGTGACTTGTTTCACTACGAATACGAACAAACCAGTCATGTATATCACTACGATTTCGAGTCACAGTATCACCATGATTCACAATATCAGCATAACGGATATCATTATTGAAGCCAGGTTTAATCCTTAGTTTGATTGATGTTTAGTAACTCAATTGCCTTAACCACCTTACTTAAGACCAGTTTAACATTTTGCTAAACAGGTCATGCCCCTCTAGTTGTAATTTTTTTGTCCACCAATGTAAATGCATTTGAGTTTCTTTAATTTTCTTACAAGTTTTTTGAGATGTTAATACATGTTCTTGTTTTCCTCTTTGTTTGTTAAGAAGAAGAAATCTAGGTGAGGTAGGAAAGTCTTAGACCTTGTAAATGCAGGTGTGAAATATAAAGGTGTAACAGCGGAATTTTAACTTGATGGGTTCGACTTTTAAGGTTCTTAGTCCATACTGTTAAAATTTATGGATTTATTGATATTATAGTACTTGTTGAATTTTTTTAGAATACAACATAATACTATTGGTGATAATTGAATTAAACACTAGTGAATCAGGAATTCAACTAAAACAAATTATTTTTAACATGAAATGTATTTTTGAATTTATCAAGAATTCAAGATAAAGACCACTATTTAAATAAGAATAGATTAAAGCAAGAGGAAAAATATCAACAACCGTAAAATTCTAAAAAGAGATTATATAAAAATATGCACATACAGTCAGTAGTCAGTACATATAAAAATATGCGCACACTTATTTTTAAATAGGTGCTTCCTCGTCCTTTTTTAGTTGTCATGTTGCTTTTTTTCAAAAGTCAATTTGACTAATTTTTAAATTAAAATTAGATTACATTAATATGATATATTAAAATAAAATATTAGATATTCAAAAATTATATGGAAAGTACTATAAATTGCAACATTTTTCATATCAATGTAATGAAAAAATACATCTTAAAATGTTAGTCAAAATTTATATCGTTTGACTATAAAAAAAGGAAACTATGACAAATAAAACGGGACGGAGAAATACACTCCACTGATTTCTTTTTAGTTATTGCATTTTTCGAGAGTCAATTTGACTAACTTTCAAAACTAAATTAGATTACATTAATATAATATTTTAAAATAAAAAAAATAGGTATTAAAAAACTATAAGTTACAATTTTTTTCATATTAATATAATAAAAAAATACATCATAAAATGTTTGTCAAAATTCATAAATGAAAACTATGACAACTAAAAAAGAACAAAGAGAGTAATTGGTTTGATTGGTTATTTTAATTATCTTTTGCTAAAAACCATAATTAAACCACATTTTATCGATTTTTAAACTTAAAATCAAAATCAAATCAATTGCTCTTTCAATTTGCAGTGAATATCCCTACTTCTCACCATCCACCGTCATTTCTATAGTATTTATTTATTTAAATTACAAATCAATATTTCTAGATAATCTCTTGTTTATTTATCAAATGTACATAAAAAAAGAGAGAGTTAAAACCCACATATTTTCAAATAATCATTTGTCATACAAAATATTTTCGTTTGCATCAAACATAGACATAAACCTTTCTATTTTAAATTAAAAAAATTCTTCGTCTTTTTTCAGCACGAGATCTAATTTAAAACCATCATTTTTTAAGTACGACAAAATTAAGAAATCAAAAGTTAGATAACTAGGCTTTATGCACCGACTCTTAATTCACATACATGTGAACTTTTCATATCCAACTACATTTTCATTAGTGTATTCTCTTTTAAATCTGATTTTTTTTCTTAAACCAATTTTATTTGTTTTCTTAATTTTTTTTTAATAAAAAAAGTCACAAAAATGTGAAAATTGTGACCAATATAGTATAAAATTAGATTCATAGTCCAGTTAAACAAAGAGAGTATAATTTTGTCACATAAAATAATGATGTTATTAGCATAAGGGACATATAGTCCTTATAAATTTATGGCATATAATTAGAAAATGTTAGGTTTATATAGAAATAGATTCTAAAACTTTTCCTTAATCAAATGTGTCCGTTCGAGTCTTGGATATCAAAAAAATAATGTTGGGAGACTAATTATGAATAATAGGTAATGTCAGATATTTACAATCTGTTAACTTTTTAAAGAGGGCAAAGACTAGATTTATTGTGTTGTGTATTGGTGAGTAAAGTACTAATTTTTATTACCTACTAAGATGGCAAAGCCTACATTTTTTTGTTCTATAAATGCAGTGCAGTGGGTTTTCTTGATTTGAGTTCATATGACACTAATTAACCCTTTGTGATCAAAATGGCAACATTCTTGAAAACCCAATTGAGCTCCCATGCCATAGAGGGTGAAGAAAGTGGGAATGGTGAAGTTGAGAAAAACCCTTCTAAAACCCTTTCATTTCCCTTTTGGTACTGTGCTGAAACAGGTATATACAGCAGCAAGTACCCTTCCATAAAATTGCCAGAAGACCCTTTTCTTGATGTTGTTTCCTTCATTTTTTCTCACAAAAATGGTGGGGTTTCTGCTCTTGTGGACTCAACTTCTGGCATTTCAATTTCCTATTCAGAGCTTTACCCAATGGTTAAGTCTATGGCTAGTGGTCTTCATCAAAGGGGTGTTTCAAAAGGTGATGTTGTTTTGATTCTCCTCCCTAATTCCATTTATTTCCCTGTTATTTTGTTGGGTGTTTTGGCTCTTGGTGCAATTGCAACCACTATGAATCCATTTAGTAATTTGTTAGAGATAAAGAAGCAAGCCCTTGATTGTTGTGTAACTTTGGCATTTACTTCTAATGATAAAGTTGATAAATTGTCTACATTAGATATTCCAGTTATAGGGGTGCCAGAAATTTTGGTTTCTGGTTCGAATTGTAGTGAAAGTTCTGTTTTTTATGAGCTGATTTCCTGTGATCCCAATTGGGATTCAAGACCTAAAATAAGCCAGCAAGATACAGCGGCAATTCTGTACTCGTCTGGTACTACTGGTGTGGGAAAAGGCGTTATCTTGACTCATGGGAACTTTATAGCCATGGTGGAAACTTTTGTGAGGTTTGAAGCTTCACAATATGAATATTCGAGTTCTGAGAATGTGTACTTGGATGTTACACCAATGTTTCATGTGTATGGGCTTTCTCTCTTTGTGATGGGGTTGTTGTCGTTGGGAACTACCATTGTTGTGATGAGCAAATTTGATGCTGATGAGATGGTGAAAGCTATTGAAAGATACAATGTCACTCATTTCCCCCTAGTCCCACCATTACTAATGGCATTGACTAGAAGAGCAAAGGAGGGTGCTTCGAGCAGTATGAAGAGCTTGAAACAGGTTTCATGTGGTGCAGCACCAGTAAACCCAAAATCCATTGAAGACTTTTGTCACACTCTCCCGGATGTTGATTTCATTCAGGTATGTCCCCTAAATCATTGACTGTCAATTGGATGCATCTTACCACGTGTCAAAGTAGCTACCATTTTGGAAAGACAAAGTTGCTAGTTAGTTCAAAGTAGAAGTGCTTTATTTATGTTCTTTGATCTGTTTAACTTCCCTGTTTCATTTTTGTTCTATTTGATCTGGATGAGTTCAGATTACTTGGTCTCATATTTTAAAGCACGCATTAGGAAAAAAATCAGTTGGGTTGTATGATGTTAGCTCTAAATATGAGTCTAATTGAAGCTCTTTACCTCAGTTTAACCCTTCAAAAGTAAATACTTTCTTCTTCTTCTTCTTCTTCTGATTCTCTTGTCCCGTGAGTCAATTGGAAATTGTAGACGTGTTAGAATATTGCAACTTGGAGCATTACTTATCCAAAGAGATGGAAATGGCACAATTATCTGTTTGTTTTGCTTTCACTATTCAGAAAGATATGTCATAATTTGTTGTCCAGGGATATGGCATGACTGAGTCAACTGCTATTGGAACACGTGGTTACAATAATGAAAAGCTGCATAATTATTCTTCAGTAGGGCTTCTAGCTCCAAACATGCAAGCTAAAGTAGTGGATTGGATCACCGGTTCAACCTTAGCTCCCAACTGCATGGGTGAGCTCTGGCTTTGTGGACCTGGTGTAATGAAAGGTACTTAGTTTCTCTGATGCTACTTATTCTATTTATCTGAAGATTCTGAAATGCTCTTTATGCTGCTAAATCATCACATAATTTTCTAAGCCGCTGAATTTTGTAAGAAGTTTTCTGGTGGATATGCATCATCCTTAGATTTTTTAAAAAGATTTTAGGTGAAAAACTGTGAAACTTTTAGCTCATATAACCATAGTGTATCTCTGATGTGTATGATATTGTTTGAGCTGATGCTTAACAAAAGCCGATTTGCAAAGTTATTGCCAAGTGCCAACCGTATATCTTGTTTTGGCTTTACAACTATTTATGTTGTCTAAACAGTAAGTAAAAATTCTGTATTTGGCTTCAATTTCCAGGATACTTGAATAACTTAGAGGCTACTAAGTCTACGATTGATGACAATGGTTATCTCCATACTGGTGATATTGCGTATTTTGATGAAGAAGGCTATCTTTATGTCATTGACCGTCTGAAAGAAACTATCAAATACAAGGGCTTTCAGGTAGATTTTTCAATTTCTTCTATTGGAGTTCTTGCCTACTTTCTGAGATCTAAAACTTGTTATGCTGCTTCTGATAATAAATATAGATCCGACTTGTAGTTCATTGTTCAATTTCTTCTTGATGCTTCATATGTTTGAGTAGCATCAGAAATTTACCCTGAGAACTAAGGCTTCCATTAGTATTTCAATCATTCTTTTAAATTTTTTGTTGAGTATGATGGATGGATTCTCTTGCTGTGTATATTTTTGCAGATAGCTCCTGCTGATTTAGAAGCTGTATTGGTCTCACATCCAGATATCATTGATGCTGCAGTAATAGGGTAAGCTTGACGGGTGCTTCAGATATTGGTGCAAATCTGTTAAAAGGAATACACGTAATTTGAATAGAAATTAGTAATTCATCCTCCATGGATACCATTTTGATGACACCGAACTTCATTCCTAAGAAGGGACTGCCAAATATGAAAAATTCAAAATAAAGGTGACTCGCTTGGAAAAATGGACATCAACATCTAATGCCTGGTAGAGGCATGAATAGGGGAAAACTTCTTTTTTTCAATCACATCTAACTGTTCCTTCATGTGGTTTACCATGATAGTGAACTTCCTCAAAATAGAATTCGCGATAGATGCTCTTGCTCGAGTTACAGAAGAAATTTGATTTCCTGCTGCTTGTATCAATTTGGCTCAGAGTATATCTGGTAGTCCTCACATATTTTTGGTGTCTAGACTGATGTAGTAAGTTATGCTCTCATCACTTTGTACCTAGAGCCAGTAGTGTCACTAGTTTATACAATCATGAAAGATATTGAATCATGGGAACTGTTCAACCATACCAAAAGGAGCTTTCCCTTTACTTATTTCCTTTATGCAGATATAATGAAAACGAGTCGGTCTGTAATTATGAGCATGCCCAGATGTTTGGATTTTTAATAATTTTAATTGTATTGGAAGATGTTATCATTTAGTAGTGGAAACAAGTGCATGATAAAATTTACCGGTCTTTACTCAAAATTTGTGGAAGATATTAAAGGCAATGTCAGTAAAAGGAGTGCAACTCGCAAAGTAGCAGATACCAGAGTTCATGGAAAAATATCTGGAGGACTGCAGCACCAACAAAAGTTAAATGCTTTACTTGGCTGGTCATTAGAAAGGCATGCTTGACTCATGAAGTCTTGAGGAAGAAAAGAAAGATCATACCTCCGTGGTGCTCTTTATGTGGAAAGACGGGGGAAACTAACAGTCACCTATTCTTACATTGTACTTTCACAGCAGAAATATGGTCCATGTTTCTCAACTATTTAGAAGTGAAATGGACTATGCCCGAACATACAGCTGATTTACTTAGTTGTTGGATCAGGAGAGGAGGTAGCAAGAGACAGGAGACCTGGTGGAATTTGATTCCACATTGCATTTGGTGGACAGTGTGGAAGGAGAGGAATAGTAGGAATTTTGAAGATATATCCAATTCCATTCACAAGGTTAAATGGAATTGCATTGTATCTCTATATTTTTGGTGTAAAGAGATAGGATTAGAGGATTCAGATCAACTTTTAGAACTCTTAGGATCCTTGTAAGTATTATGCTTTTTATTCTTTTTTGAATTTTTTAAAGGTCCCCAGCATATCCTTAATGCTGAAGAATACCATGTTTACCAATTCTCAAAAAAAATGTCAGTAAAAGTACTCCACATTGGCTCTTTATCACCAAATCTTCCATGCTGATCTTTGAATGATTGCATAATATCATTTCTTTATGCCACTTTTAGCATGGTCAGGCTTCTAACTCTCATCCACTTTGTTATTCGATTTTTCAGAGCCAGAGATGAGGAAGCTGGAGAAATTCCAGTTGCATTTGTCGTCAAGAGAGACGGGTGTGCAGTTTCCCAAACAGATGTAATCAACTTTGTTACTAAGCAGGTATAGTCAGCTTCACTGTCTGTTTTTCCGGGTTTCTTTGTGTTATTCCCTTTGCTTCATCTGGCAGCGAGTCATTCGTCCCCCTGCTAGTATGACAGTTGACGACAACAACAACAACAACAACAACACATATCCAGTATATATCCCACAAGTGGGGTCTGGGGAGGGTGGTGTGTACCCCTACCTTTTGAAAGTAGAGAGTTTGTTTCCAATAGACCCTCGAAGAATAAGATATTAGGAGGGTACTAATAATAATATTGATAAGGGAAACTAGACCACACTCAACTATTTACTTACCTTCTACCCTAACCAACGGCCTCCATAATCCTCCCTGCTGGTATGACATGGCTAATTTTATGATTTTCAAGAATACATGCATATGGTGCATCACGAATTCTTGGTATATAGTTGCCTCCATTGCTAATCGCTTCATATTCTTTATAACAGGTTGCACCATTCAAGAAGATTAGAAAAGTTTACTTCAGAGCTTCCATACCCAGGTCTGCAGCTGGGAAGATTCTTAGAAAGGAGTTACGGAACTTATTAACTTCCAAATTATAGAGCCTCTTCATCAACTGTTGAGCTCTGGAGCTGCCTAACAAAGTTCGCTAACCGGCGATACACAGAAGAAATCAGTTATAGATGAAGATAATTTTTTTGTGTTTTCTTATAGATGCAAAAACACCAGTTGCCTGGTAATATGTACATTTTTTTTTTATCAATCTTATGATTTCAGCAGCTCTAGTTGCCATCTATAGCTGCCAAAATGTATCGAATAATCCCTTCGTCCAGTATATTGATGATTGATCTCCTGATTTTTGCCTGAAATTGAGAGCAAATGTTTTTTTTTTACCTCTCAAGTGAAAACTGGAATCTGGCTGCCCACATGTTTGGTAAGCCTTGAAGGTTTACCCCTTGATGCAGAGTATAACAATAACTCTGGTCCTATGCCTAAGTGAAATGATTCAACAAAGGAACATGAAAGGCCTAAAACATTGGTGACTCTTAGAAATATCGTGCCAACTTTAGGGGGCCAAGATGGGTTAAGCCGAACATGAAAACATATACCCAAACACAATTCAATAGCTTGTTTGACCAAGTTTTCGGGAAGTCAAAAGTGTTTAATTTTTTTTTCTAAAAATGTGCTTATATTACTAAAAGTGTTATCCAAATTGATTAGTAAAAAATGCGAGAAAAGTATTTTTTTTTTCCAAAAATATATCTTTTAAAAGTTGAATACATACAAAAGAGGCAACGAACAAAACTGATTATAGTTTTGTTAAGAGACAAAGAGTCACTCTTTTTATATGTGATGGAGAGAATAAGAATCATCTTTTTCTGTTCACATCCACACAAATTTCTTAACTTGCCAGTTCAAAAAATGGACCAACTACATTCTCTTCTTTTCAAGATTCCCCATGGCGACAGCTTCAGCTGTTCCAAAGAGTTTATTTCTCCCCAATTTCCATTACCCAACAACTCTCTATCAAATAAAGCTCAAAACTTTACAAACCCCACTTAGAATCCTTTCTCAGAAATCCAATTTGAGCTCTAATGGAGTCAATATCAAGACAAATTTCGTCAAAAATACACAATCCCATGAAAGGGGTGTTAAGAGAATTCACTCTAGTAGAAGACTTATTGTTAGATCCATGGGATCAGACAGTAGTGTTGCATCCACAGGGTTACCGAGCAAGGCAAAAAATTGAATCTTTTTTCTCTTTCATATTGTGAAATTTTGTTGATAGCATGTTTGGCAAAAATTTTAAAATATGCTTGTTTTTTGGAAAATATTTTTTTTGTTAGGTGCTTTCTAAAAAGTACTTTTGGAGAGTAGTATTTCGTGTTTGACTAATCAATTTGGAAAACAGTTTTGCCTATATTAGAGCAATAGTTTATGGGGTAAAAGACTACTTTTTTAGCTTTTTGTATACCCCTTTCGTGGGAGCTCCCACCATTTTTGCTGCCTTGGTGACTCAAACTTACAACCTAAGTGTTGGAAGTGAGGAGTGCTTGACCTCCGAGCAACTCCCTGAAAAAAACAGTTTTTGTTACTATTCAAAGCTTGAGTTTTGATTTTTTTTTTTGGGTGTTTGTTTTGCTGTAGGTGTTTGGAGCATTGCATTTATTAGTTTCACTTGGAATCATACTGGCTATGGATAAATTGTTAAAGAAAGCATTTGTGGAAGCTGCTATTAAGTTCCCAAGTGCTCTATTTGGAATGTTTTGCACATTTGCTGTTCTAACGATTCTTGACTCCGTTGTTCCTAAGGCTGCAGAAGGATTGATGAACTTTTTTGAGCCTGCACTTTTGTTTATCCAGAGATGGCTTCCATTGTTTTATGTACCTTCTTTGGTTGTTCTCCCTCTTGCCGTCAAGGATGTTCCTGCAGCTTCTGGGGCTAAGATTTGTTTTATACTAGGTACCATATCTTAACTGTACGATAAATTGAAATGCTTTTGGTTCTTTTGCAGAAAGAGCTCTTAAGATCAACTAACTTTTAAGTTTGATGCCTATTTAGCTTCTAGAGGCCCTTGTGTTGCTAATTAATAATCACACTTTAAGCCGATGTGAATAAGAAAATGCTATTAGTTACTCATAACTGAATATCTTCCTATGAAATAAACAAAGTATTTTGGACATTGAGCTCAGTAGGACCTGTTTAGAGTTGAACATGTTTCTACTAACTTGTACCATACCATATTGTAAGATGCTTGACAAGTTATCCTTACAGCTTGTCTGAATGGTTGTTACGTATTGGTAATGTGTTGTTTTAATGAATACACCGTTTTGATAGATTGTATTGTTTCTCGTCGTTTCATAATACCACACACCAGCAATTTGAAGAGTAACCTTACAATATTATATATAAAAAAGTACGATACAAGGTAGAGTTATTATAAAAAGGAAGGATAAATGGTAAAATAAGATTATTAATACTAAGGGGAAAATAAGGTAACAACGCGATCACAACAAATCAGTATGTCACATATGGTTATAAAAATGCAGCTTCCTTCCTTTTCCTCTCTCCCTCTGGTGTAAGTCTCTTTCCTCATGCCAACAGACTGTAACTGATTTTGACTTCTCTGCAGTTGGGGGCTGGTTGGCTTCTCTTTGTGTTGCGGGTTTCACAGCTATATCCGTGAGGAAAATGGTAAAGACCGAGATGATACCTGCTGAGCCCATGGCAAAGCCTTCTCCTTTTACTTCTTTGGAGATGTGGACTTGGAGTGGGATCTTTTTGGCATCATTTGTTGGTGCACTTTACTATCCGACAGCGCTGGGAACAAGTGCTAGAACATGCTTACCCTTTCTACTTTCATCTACTGTATTAGGCTACCTAGTTGGATCAGGGTACGATTCAGCATCTCAGCATGAATAAATCTACTTTTCAGTTTATCATGGAAAGTTTCTTCGTTTTTCTTGTTCATCTGGTCTGTACATTCATAAGTTTTATATCCTCAGGCTTCCATCGGCTGTAAAGAAGGTTTTCCATCCAATCATCTGTTGTGCAGTCTCTGCAGATCTTGCAGCCATTGCTTTTGGATACCTTTCTAAGTCTGGACTTGATCCAGTTCTTGGTGAAGATTTTACTTCTATGTTATAATTTATTTACTTTCTTATTCTTACATCGGTAGCATAAAAGTTGAATTGACTATAGCTATATCAACTTAGATTAGCCATTTCCATGGTACATGATGTGATAGATAAAAAGGAGGTTTAAGTCGAGATTTCATGCATAAACTATTTTCCTGAGGATTTGGCTTTTAAGCAACAAACAGTTATTTGACTCTCAAGTTATTTGTAAGGTTATTCAACATGCAGTATGCTAAAAGAAAAGGCCAAAAGACTGTACATCTTAATAAGTATATAATTATAGTGGTTTTCACTTGTTACAATATGTTATGAGACCAAAAATATTTTGTTGTTTGATATTCTCAAGTCATGAACATTAACTGTTACTTAAAACATATTACATGTATAGTAAGATGTTACAATTTCTGCCCATTTGTTAAATTGCGTAATACATCAGCATTATGGGCATGAGAAGTTGAACTTTCTGAACAACATCATTTGTCCCGTTCAGCTAATTAAATTGTACTTTCGCCTTGGTTATTTATTCAGGGGATTATCTTACAAAGGCCGCATCTAATCCTGGAGCTGGGGACATTCTCATGGGATTTTTGGGATCAGTCATCATCTCCTTTGCCTTCTCAATGTTCAAGCAAAGAAAGGTAACCAGAAATGAGCTGCAATTAAAGCTGCTAGCAGGATAGAGATTTAAAGTAACTTCAAAGTTATAGAAGAATTTTAATGTTTACGGGTGATTGGTGAGGAAGGATGTATATGGCACAAGCATGGAACAAAACAAGAAAAAAAAGAAGGCAAATTTCAAATGACTTAAAAAGATAAAACAAAAAGAACAATGACATTCCGAACCTAGCGGTTGGTTCATTTTGGAGTTGTTTTGCTTGTTCTTCACTTTTCTTACAAACATAAACTTTTTTCTTTTTATCCTTCACCTTCCTGACTTCTTGCAGCCAATGTAAGATGGGTGGTCCTTCAGAGGATTCACTCTCTTTCAGCTTCTCACCTGTGCTTGTCTTTTGCTTATGCTAATTATCTATTTCCTACTCTCAGCTTGTTAAACGGCACGCTGCTGAGATTTTCACCTCTGTCATTATATCCACACTATTTTCACTATATTCAACCGCTCTCATTGGAAGGCTGATTGGGTTGGAGCCAAATTTGACTATATCGATCCTACCCCGATGCATAACTGTCGCACTAGCTCTCAGCATTGTTTCTCTATTTGAAGGTCAGGAACATCTCATTGATGATCTTGTTCTCTGAAAGCTTGACAAAAATCATGGATTATCTGGTAATCGAAAGTGAAAAAGATGCTGAACTCTTCTTGAATGTGTGATATTCAGGTGTGAATTCATCCCTAACAGCAGCTGTCGTTGTACTAACTGGTCTGGTGGGAGCAAATTTTGTTCAGGCAGTGCTGGATAAACTTGGCTTCAATGATCCTATTGCTCGAGGAATTGCAACTGCATCAAGGTAGTACCCATTTCATTGTGCAGAGAGAACGGTTCCTTCCAAGAGTCATATCAAATGCTCCATTTCGAAAAGAAAAAAAAAAGAGAATGATATCAAATGCTTTAGATGACCATAAAAATAGCTATAAAAATTGACTTTTGCTACCTTGAGTTAAACTGGAAAAACCATATGTTGATTAATTGAAGATGGATTTTTATGTTTGAGAAATTTACATAGAAGAAGACCAAAGCTGTATAATATTGCTCTAATGACTATTTGTCTTCTGTGTTAAGTGCTCATGGGCTCGGAACAGCAGCTTTATCAGCTAAGGAACCTGAAGCTCTTCCATTCTGCGCTATAGCATATGCCCTGACTGGTATATTTGGCTCTCTTATATGCTCCGTTCCAGCAGTAAGACAGAGCCTACTGGCAATTGTCGGCTGAGCTGACAGTCTAAACATTCATCTTTCTTCATACCAATTCGATCATTCTATTGGGATAATGCCAGCACAATCACCCAAGTTAAGGTTCAGAAGGCAACGGGCGACTTGCTGTTTCTTCAGAATGTTCAGATTCTAGATGCAAGGTGTTTATAAAGTTAAGTTTCCATTGTTTCTCTATCACTCTTGGGGAGCATGATTAGGAACTTTCCTGTATCTAGTTTTAGGTTTACTTAGGATGTGTATAGAGGTACATATCCATAGTTTTTCGTTGTAAGATTTTTTCTTGTAAATTGAAATGAATTGCTACTTCTTTTATGAAAGTAAGCACAGCTGAATAGCATGAAACTAATATGTATTTATGATCTTATAATTCATAATTATTACTTTCTTAGGGGATACACTTAAAAAGATTGAAATACAGAGTCTGAATAGGAAACAAAGCATCATTAAACTATGATAAATGACATTTTGTGTCAATATTGAGACAAATCATGTGGAATGGCAATCAAGTGAAGATCATTCTTCCTGTTTGCAGTTATTCCAAATGTTTCAGTCATATCTAGATCCTCTGGTTGTTTTCCATAAGGAAGTTTCCAGTCAAAGTGGTAAAGCAACTGTGCCAAGGGATACATCACTAGCGCTAAACTGTATTGCATTCCTGGACATATCCTGCTTCCTGCACCAAATGGAATAAATTGATAGTGATTTCCCTTGAAATCCACAGAACTGTTTTCAAATCTCTCTGGCACAAAATTTTCAGGGTCGTCCCAACTTTCAGGATCTCTTGCCGTAGCCCAACAATTAACAATCACTTTGGTTTTAAGAGGAATAGTGTATCCGCCTATTGTTGTTTCCTCCCTGCATTCTCTAGGGATTAAAAGTGGACCTGGAGGGTGTAACCTTAGAGTTTCTTTAACCACTAACTTCAGATATTTCAACTTTTCGAGATCACTGTCATCCAAATCTTTCTTCCCTTTACAGACACATCTTGCTTCTCCCTGTGCTTTTGTCATGATATTTGGGTTCTTCATCAGTTCAGACAATGCCCATTGTATTGTTGTTGCTGAAGTTTCAGTCCCCACAAAGAACATGTCCTACAACATTGGAGTTTTACTATTAACATAAACTACCTCTTATGTAACATTCTGCGATTATAGAGTTTAAGAAACAAAAGAAGACTTGTTAATGATTGACTGTTTAGATGAGATTAGAACCAAATCAACTTACAAGAATGACTGCTTTGATGTTATCAGTTGTCACAGGAAATCGAAGTTCATCATTCTCCATAACTCTAAGTAAAACGTCAATCAAATCTTCACCCTCAAACTCGTTGTTGCCTTTTACGCCATTTGCTTTATTCTGTTTATAATCATCAATAATATTCTCCATTATTACATCAAGCTTATGATGCATATTCATCAATCTGTTTCTCTTTCCACTGATTTCATGAAGTAATTTCCATGAAGGGAAGAGATCCACCACATCAAATCCTGCGAATAAGTCTAGTACTTCCCTCGTGATCATTAACAAATTATCTCTATCATCCCATACTTTCCCGAAAGCTGATCTACATATAACAGAGCTGGTAAGTTGAAGAGCCTTTTCAGTCATGTTAACCACATCATCTGGTGTGGAACGAATTGATGTAACAAGATTATGAACCTCATCTTGTCTAATTAAACTAAACGACTTGACCATCTTTGCACTGAGTAGCTCTGAAAAGCATATTTTTCGCATCTGTTTCCAGTAATCACCATATTCTGCAAATGCAATGTCTTTTTGACGATAAAAGACTATATCAGACGCCACAAGCTTTGGCCTTGCTGCAAAAGAAAGGTCATGAACTTTTAGAATTTGTTTTGCCAAATGAGGAGATGATACTACAACTGCATCAACTTCCCCTAGTTGCAAGTGCATTAGAGGTCCATATTTTTTGGCTAATTTTGCAAGAGCATGATGTGGAAGTGCTCCAATAAGGTGATGCATGCTTCCAATAACAGGCAATTTCCATGGACCTGGTGGCAATAATCTTTGGTTCATTTCTTTCCATTTTCTAACAAGAAGAAAGAGAATAAAGAAGACAAGCAAGATTGGAATTAAGTTAAACTGGAAGTGCAGAATCTCCATATTATCACAATGAGGAAGATTATAAGGAAGAACTATTAGTGAATGTGTCAAATTTATAATTCATTTGATGAAGATGTTGCTTCATTTCATTTAAAAAGAGATGGAGGTTGTGTGGCCAATTTTGTTAGGACCGGAATAAGTAGGTGCAATGCGAAAGCTAACAAAGCAAACCTCGAAAGACCACAAGTTAGAAGACAAACGAGAAATATACCAAAAGACACAAAAATTTAACGTGGTTCGGTCAGTCGACCTACATCCACAAAGGAGATGAGCAATCCACTATAAATATGAGAGTACAAAATATAGAGACAAATAACCTCAACAAAATCACTCGGAATACATGCGAGGTTCACACATTCTCCCCCATAACCAAAACTCTCAAAACCCTAGGACTACATTGTGAATGTTGATTAAGTTAGAAGGAACAAGTTTCTATTTATAGAGTTTAAATTTTTTCCTACAAGAAAAGGACTAGTCAAATATGGAGATATTTTCTTTTCCTTTTGCTAAAAGAAAAACCTATTTATGGTAAGAAACTCGAGGCAAATAATAGCCAACACATTTTTATTTTATTTTGGTTTTCCACCCATTGTACGGTCTCTGCATTGGAGCCCGAAGCACAATTTTTTTCATATTCAGAGCTCGAATCCTAGACCTCTGATCAAGGGAAGAGCAAATCTGAGACCTCTAATTAAAGAAGGAGCAGCCTGATCCACTGCACCACAATCTTTGTGTGGCCAATTTTGCTTATATGCAAGTTAGGTAGATTAATAGATATACCTTAGGTATATTACTGATTAAATAAGTTAACCGTCCTTTGAAATATTAACATCTATATCTATATCTATATCTACTAGAGAGGGATTGCCTCGTAAGTCTATATTTCCATAGATAATCAATTTATTCAAGTTATGTGTTTGTATTAACTAGTGTTGAGAACGTGCGTTGCACGTTTGTCCTCTACTACTGTATAAATTTTGTACAAGTATGTAACACTAATTAAGATAAAATACCATCTGATGATATGTGATATATCGAGGAACTCTTGCTCTAAATTTGAGAAGTGCATGTAAACATCACTAACAAAATTAATAAAGGCAAAGGGAAAATATATATATCCACAAAAATCTACTACATTTTGAATTTCTCTCTTAATCACCTTCCATCTCCGATATTCAACATCTTATAACCTTCATTTATAGCGTTGTTCTTCTGCACGCATAAGAAAAATAATTGTTCGATACACAAAATACTAGGCCTAAACATTATCTGATATTATTGAAGGATTATCATATACAAAAAATAGATTGATTGAACATATACAATATTATGATAAAAAAAAGATTCTCGATAGGAAGATGGTAGCTAGGTATGATCTAAAACATGAAAAATTAAGCTCTAACAAAATAAGGGGTAAAAAATTAAATGGAAGAAAGACAAATGTAACACTTTTCCGGATGATTAAATTACATAACATAATTAAGTGAAATGACAAAGAAAGGAAGAAGAGAGTTTCCATCTCATCACTTACCCAAAGTATGTAAATTAGTGAAAATGCTACTTTGAATTCCTTCGACAATTGCCTAAAAACTAATTATTAAAAGAGAAGTTTCTCAAAACATGAAAATGTATTAGTTACTAACTATGCTTGCTAAAAGGCCAACTTTGTGAATAGATAGCTTTCAACCTCCATGAAGATTTTCAACATCCATTTTCATCAATGCAAGCTCCGTATGAAGTTTTAGAATTTGTATAAATTTCTCTCCTGAAAAAAATAAAATATAATGAGAGTAATCAGTGATCAACTAATGCATTTAGAGAGAAATAAAAAATTTGCTTAATAATCATGAATTTTTGCAAAAAATATGACCACCGGCACCTCTTTGCTACACAAATATGATATATAACTCTCATAATTAATTACCACTGCAACTCTTCATTAACCTTCTTTATTATAATTATTATAGCAATAAGCATTTATAGGTAATGGGAGAAAGAATTTAATTACCAAGGAAATCAAAAGGCCAATACGGAGAAAACAAACAAGCAGGTTTTGATGATTAGCATTAGTATAATAATATAATAATAATATTATTTAATATTTAATTAATTAATTTTTATAACTTTTTTATTTAGTGTAGGGGTAAAATGGTAATTCAACTTTTGACTTGGATTCTTCCCACTTTTAATAATATAATGATGATGATAATGAATCAAAAATATGAAGTAGAGGCAAACAGAAAGTAAAATAGTGCAGCTAAACACTTTCGTAATATTTCTAAATTTTATTCAAGCATTCAAAACATATCAAAAACTACTCAAATCTGAAATCACAAAATGAAGGGAAATGCAACACTCTGGAGTACAAACAGTACATGTCTACAGGTAGTACGAACAGCGACTATATTCAAGAAACCAGGTAAACAAAAAACAACATGTTAACTTGCAGCTCAGAAAGAACACCGCAGGAGAGATGCTAACTTCTATGTTTCCGAAAATGTGTTCTTGATTTTGTTAAGCCTCTTGACTACTTCCTTCATGGTTATTCTTGAATCGGGCGTTTCCTTTGTGCACTCTAAAGCCAATTCTATCATGGAGGCTATGCAGATTTCACTTTTAGAAGTGATTTGTTCTTCCTCAGAAAAAAGCTTGGCATCCACAACGTCCATCATAGTCCCCAGAAATGATTGTGTTATCCATTTCCTCAAGTCAAGATTTTCATTGCATATCTCTTCGTCTGTGGGTCTTCTTTTGGTCAAAACCTCCATCAACATGATGCCATAACTATAAACATCACCACTAGCGGACACTATTCCCTCCGAGCCATACTCTTAGAAAAGGATTGAAAAAAAAGTTATTCAATTGAGATACAACAATAATTCTGCATAAATAAAGACTTGCCCTTTTTTTTTACTTCTAGGATTTGAAGAGGCTTAATTATGATTAGAGAAAATCAAACGGAGTAGATTTTTATACCTGGTGCAATGTAACCAAGAGTGCCCAATGTCTCGGTATAAGCCACGGATTTGCTTATGGCTAAAATTTTAGAGATTCCAAAATCACCAACATGAGCCACCATATCTTCATCCAAAAGAATGTTGGCTGGCTTTAGGTCGCAATGAACTATTGGAGTGACATGGCCATGATGTAGATATTCAATTGCCATAGCTGCATCAAGCATTACAGTGACTCTTTGATGAAGGTTCAAGTGGCGATCTTCTTTGTACAGCCAATTCTCAAGACTTCCATTGGACATAAATTGCAGAACGAAGGCTCTAATATAGTCACTAGAACAAGTAGTAATCACAGGGACAAGATTTCTATGTCTAACATTTCTCATCACTTCGCATTCAGTATCAAACCTCCTGCATACGTTCTCATTTTCCAAGTCCAGAACCTTTATTGCCACTACACTTCCACCAGATAATGTGCCTTTGTACACAGAGCCAGAACTTCCCACACCAATTAAATTGGATTCATCAAAATTATTTGTTGCTCGTTGAATCTCGTGATAAGAAATCAATTGATGAGTTTTGATCTCAAGAACCTTCTCCACATCTTTGGACTTTCCTTTCTTTTGTTTCATTATCCAAATTGAAACCAACAAGAACATCAGAAAGGATGAAATAACCACTGGAATAACAATTTTAGCACAACCTCCTTAAGCTTTGATTGTTTTCCAGGATTAGTGATAGCACAAGCAGGAATCTCCAATATGTGCATTCCGCAAAGACCTTTGTTCCCGAGAAATGATTGCGGAGTGGAATTTGCAAACACACCACCACCGGGTATCTCACCTTCTAAATCATTAAATGAAACATTAATGCTTTTAAGGTATGAGAGTTTTTCCAATGACTTAGGAATAGTACCTGACAATGCATTTGAAGACAAATTCAAGAATTCCAAGCTAATCAAGTTGGCAAAGGATAATGGAATTTGGCCAAAAAATGAATTGTTTGACAGGTCAAGATACTGCAGGTTTTGGAGTTCCCCGAATCTGGTTGGTATCATGCCTGAAAAGTGGTTACCGTAAAGATATAGTTCTACAATGGCTTTCAGGCCTCCAATATCTGATGGAACTTCTCCCTCTATTGAATTCTGTGACACATCTAGATAGAGAAGACCACTCATTTTCCAAAGTTTCAATGGAAGTTTTGATGAAAATTTATTAGAACCCAAATAGAGCAGTTGTAGCATGCTAAGATTTCCTAAGCATTCTGGAATTAAACCAGAAAGCTCATTAACTTGCAGATTTAATTGAACCAAATTAGATAAATGGCATACCTCCTCTGGAATATGTCCCTGCAATTTATTGTTAGTTAAATACAGCCCTTGGAGCTGTTTAAGCTTACCAACATCAGAAGGAATACCCCCAGTCAAGTTGTTTTTTTGAAAGATTAGAGCTGTAAGACCGCTCAGGTTGCCTATACTTGTGGGGATGAGGCCGTTGATGTGTGCATCTACTATATGAAATTTTTCAATAGTAGATGAAAGATTCCCAATAGAATTGGGCAGAACTCCATTCAACGGATTAAAACCCACTTCTAGATATCACAACATCCTACAGTCGGCCAAAGAATTGAAGAATCGCAACTCATTCTCTCTTGGTTCATTGGTAAGTTGATTAGTATGTAGGAGCAGTTCTTGCAGCTCACGAAGATTCCCCAAATTAGTAGGAATAGTTCCTGTCAGAAAGTTCTGTGCTAGCGACAGTAACTCAAGCTTGGAAGCATTTGTTATGAACAATGGAATTTCCCCTTCCAGCTGATTGACTCCCAAGTCAAGTTCTTTAAGGTTTGGAAGATGAAGACCTGTAGTAGCTGGAATTCTCCCCGAGAGGTTGTTCAAATTGAAATAAATCATTTCCAAAGACGATATATTGAAAATAGCCTCTGGAATTTGACCAATAAGATTATAATTCTGCCCAAAGCTTAATTGCCTCAAATTTGACAGCTTTCCTAATTCCGGAGGAATTTGCCCCACTATGCGATTGTTTCCACAGTAAAGATTATGCAGAGTGGAAATATTTCCCAATGAAGCAGGAATAGTTCCTTTTATTCTATTATATCCAATATAGAACCTCTCGAGCTTGGATAAACAACCAATATTTCTTGGTATGTCTCCAGTTATCTTGTTGTAAGATATGGACAAAACTTTGAGCTCTGTGAGTTGGCATATGTTGGAAGGAACGCAACCAAAAATTTGGTTCATAGATAAACTTAAAAACTTCAGATTTGACACAATATTCCCTTCATCTAGCAAGAGAGGACCAGAAAGGCTATTGAATGCCAGAGATACGGAAAGTAGCGACGAGATATTAAATAGTGATGTAGGAATGAAACCTGTTAACTGATTATCAGTCAAGAACAAAAATGCAAGTTGGCTTAGATTTCCAATTTCCGTTGGAATGTTACCGTTGATTCTATTCCCAGTCAAACTGAAGTTCATGATTTTTGTGGCATTTCCAACACAAGGAGGGATTATACCTGTGAGGCTATTGTTGGTGAGATCCAAGACCCTGAGTTCGGGTACATACCATGGCCCTTTCCACATTTCACCACTGAGTTTATTGAAGGCCAATGAAATTACCTAAACTCTCCGGTGTTGAAATAGACTTGATGGAATACTTCCTTGGAGCTGATTATTTTGAATATCAATCACTCGCAAGCGAGGTAAGTGGCCAAGTTCGTAAGGGATGCCACCATTGAATAAGTTGTTCTCGAGATTGAGCACACTGAGAAAGGACAAATTGGCTAAAGACGGGGAAATTGTGCCTTGAAGATGCAAATTAGGAAGAGCCAAGGCCACAACCCTTTGCCTTTTTGAACTGCAAGTGACACCAAACCAAGAGCAAAAAGAAGTATTTTTGGTCCAATTATTGGCAAAAAAATGACTGGGACTTGTAACAATATTTTGAAAATCTAGTAAAGCTTGTTGGTCACTCTCATTTGATATAGAAAATTGAATTTGAAAGAGAAGAATCGACAAGAAAATGTTCTTCTTCATGGTGTTACTATATATGCACTTGGAAACAGATTGCTTCAAAGCTTGATTTGTTTTTCAAATGTATTATTCCATTATATATGACATAGTCTGATTCGACAGAAAATTTGAGAAGGCATTGAAAACTTTTGAAACTTTTAATCTTAAACATATCATTACATTTGTATAACTATAATTTATTTGTTTTGTCATTATAGATAAAATGAAATATTTAAAGTTAAATATACTTTTTTACAGACTTACTAATAAAGTTAAATGGTTGTGATTTCCACAATCTTCTTTGTGGGGTATTGCACATCATTGAAATGTCATCACATTGAGGAATTTTAAACTAAGGGGTAAGGAAATTGATTGAGTAAAGTCAGTCAACTTAAATTATTAATAAAAAAATTATAAAAAAGGGTTGCAGTCTAAGACAAGTTTGAAAAAATGCATGTTGCTTGACCTCTTACCCACCACATACAGAGGCGTATCCGATTTAAAGTTTATAATCTTTTACGACGACTTTAAATTAATATATAATAATAATTGGATTCATATTTATAAATATTTTGTGAATTTTCCAATACAAATATAGAATTTGAACAAAAGCAATTGAATTCCTTTTGTTCTTGTTCAATCTTTCTTTCTGGCAGAATCCTCAAGTTTCTACTGTCAATTCATATAGAGCTTTTTGAAGCTTAGACACCTTGCCTTCAATTCAAGAAGATTTACTTGCACTTACATATTAGTACTTGATAATCGTCAGTGTATGTTAAGCTTGAACTTTTGACTGATACTGGAAAAACAGGGAGATCAAATTTAAGTTTGAGTATAAATTATATGCACTTAAGGTGTAAAAACTATTGAATTATTAGGATCTGGTGTTTCATTCACCTTCAAAATCACCAAGTCCAACTGAGCATTCCATTTATTAAATAGTTGAATATATCAATTGGAAGAAACTAATGAATCAAAAATATGAAGTAGAGGCAAACAGAAAGTAAAATAGTAGAGCTAAACGCTTTCGTAATATTTCTTAATTTTATTCAACCATTCAAAACATATTACAGACTACTCAAATCTGAAATCACAAAATGAGGGAAATGCAACACTCTGAAGTACAAATAGTACATGTGTACAGGTAGTACGAACAGCGACTATATTATTCAAGAAACCAGTAAACAAAAAGCAACATGCTAACTTCTACATTTCTAAAAATGTGTTCTTGATTTTGTTAAGCCTCTTGACTACATCCTTCATGATTATTCTTGATTCTGGTGTTTCGTTTGTGCAATCTAAAGCCAATTCCATCATGGAGGCTATGCAACTTTTACTTTTGTAAGTGATTTGTTCTTCCTTAGAGAAAAAATTGGCATCCACAATGTCCATCATAGTCCCCAAAAATGATTGTGTTATCCATTTCCTCAAGTCAAGATTTTCATTGCATATCTCTTCATCTGTTGGCCTTCTTTTGGTCAAAACCTCCATCAACATGATGCCGTAACTATAAACATCACCACTAGCGGACACTATTCCCTCCGAGCCATATTCTTAGAAAAGGATTGAAGAAAAGTTACTCAATTAAAATACAACAATAATTCTGCATAAATAAATACTAGCCTTTTTTTTTTACTTCTAGGATTAAGATTTTCAACATTCATTTTCATCATTGCAAGCTCCGTATGAAGTTTTAGAATTTGTATAGATTTCTCTCCTGAAAAAAAATAATATAATGAGAGTAATCAGTGATCAACTAATGTATTTAGAGAGAAATAAAAAATTTGCTTAATAATCATGAATTTTTGCAAAAAAATATGACCACCGGCACCTCTTTGCTACACAAATATGATATATAACTCTCATAATTAATTACCACTGCAACTCTTCATTAACCTTCTTTATTATAATTATTATAGCAATAAGCATTTATAGGTAATGGGAGAAAGAATTTAATTACCAAGGAAATCAAAAGGCCAAAACGGAGAAAACAAACAAGCAAGTTATGATGATTAGCATTAGTATAATAATATAATAATATTATTATTTAATATTTAATAAATTAATTTTTATAACTTTTTTATTTAGTGTAGGGGTAAAATGGTAATTCAACTTTTGACTTGAATTCTTCCCACTTTTAATATATGATATATATATGATGATAAAGAAGGATGATCAAGTTAGAAATAAAGTATGTTCATTCAACCTGCAAATTATATGCAATATACCAAATCATAGATAAAATAGAAGACATTAAATGTTGACACAACTCAAACAAATTGCACCCAAAAAAATGTTATCTATATTATTGAACATTAACCTTAGTTTAAGTTAATTAAATAAGGGTATATCAATTCTAAATGACAATATTGAGGGGTATATCAGACCCTTTTCCTTCTACTTTTTTTTGTGTGTGGCTTTTTTCTCTTCTAATTTTTCTAACAAAAAAACTCTACTAATAATCTTGGTTCTTTTCCTCTTTTCTACTTGAAGTCCATATTAATTATATGTTGTCTTTCCCAGTTACAACAAGAGTAATTAAATAGTACTCCCTCCATCACATTTTATGTGGCACTTTTCGGATTTCGAGATTCAAACAAGTCTAACTTTGATCGTAAATTTTTCATAGATCTTTTAGACATTTTGAATTATCAATTGTTGTGACTTATAGTACTTTTTACGTAGTTTACAAATATATAAATTTCATTTCAAAAAAATAGAAGATTTCATGCGCAAATTTCCGGTCAAACTTAAACTGTTTGACTCTCGAAAAACAAAAAGTACCACATAAATTGGGACAGAGGGAGTATTTTCTAAGCATCAATCTAAAATGTTGATAATGAAAATATTAACCTACTTTTATATCTTCGTTATTTAAATCATATGTTATAATATTAATGCCCAAATACATAAAAGTGTTTTAATTATTATAGAGTCCGAGCTTTTCGTTAATTATTTTCTTCAATAAAGTACTAACGTGTTGGGTAAAACCAACATGTTTAGCCCCTAATTTATAGGAGTTTAAATTCAACTAATAACTTTTTTTAAGCGAATTGTCAAAAAGGGACAATCCAACCCCACACGACCCAAGCCTCATGGGCCAAGAAATTTGACGGGCTAGGGTGGGCCGGCCCTTCATTTGGAAGGGCATGAAAGTACTCAACCCAACCCAACTCTAGAAATGTTGTGGGTTGGGGCGGGCTAGCCCTTTGTTTTTTTTTTCTTTTCAAACTTAAAATTCTATAACATCAAGAAAATGAGAGGATTTTCAAATCAAATATGACAAATAATGGTGTTGTTTCAGTAACACTAGCAAAAAATCTAGTTGATTAGCATGTATCTAGGATACTAGATACGTGAGATACATGTATCTGGTGTGATGCATCCCAGATACGGGAGCGAGATAAGTGAGTGGTGAGGGTGAGGGCGATGGGAGGGAGGCGAGGGCGCGAGATTTGTCTATGTATCCTAGATATATGTGAATCTCACTTGGATTGAGTGTATCTAGAACAAATTACACCTAATTTTGAGTCCATGTATCTAGACGCACCAAAATCTGGTAAGATTCGTAATATTACAACATAACATGCATCTAAGTAATTATCACATACAATAAGAAGATTTCTATAAGTTACCCTTAAATAAATAATTTTGGCCATGCGACCCCTGCCCTACCCCGATTAAGCTTCAAGGGCCAAGGGCTGATATGAAGGGCTTATAAGCCCTAGTTTTAAATGAGCTAGAAAAATCTTATCACAATTAAATCCCAATAATGGGTTGGGTTGGGGCACCCCATGAGTTAAGTCCATTTTAACGGCTCTTGTTATTATAAGAGCTGAGAAGTTCTAATGTCATAGTATTTCACTCGGTATAACACTAGTGATCACTTGAATGACTTTGAATGAAAATATCCTCAAATATCAAAATATCTATTCAAATATTAATGTCAAAATATAAATCATAATTTGGTATAGAAGTCATGTTTTCAATTAATGTCATGACGAATTATTTTCTTCAACAAAGTACTAACGTGTTGAATAAAACAATAATGTTCTTTGTGTAATATTTCGTGTACATTAACATAAAGTTAATGCATTTCATTAATTTTTCTCATGTATCCAACTAAACTTGCCCTTAGTATTTTCCAATACTAAGGTTTACTACTAATTAACATTGTTACACAAGATATAAGTGTGATTTGGTTGCTCTTTGTGCTCGATATACTGCTACACTAGTGTGGTTTATCCGTTTTTTCGTGGAAGGAAATAATCTTATACCTCAGGTATTAGGAGGGAATTAAGTTTCTTAAGGACACACTATGAACTCAGTCGAGTCGGATATAATTCTGTTTCATCTCCATTTCTGGTTCTACTTAATTTGAAGTATTATAGTATTTTATTTTCGAATACAGTAAGAATAACAATAACAACCGTAGTGTTTCTTTGATCACTAACTTCAGATACTTCAATTCCTCGAGTTCATTGTGGAATGGCAATCAAGTGAAGATCATTCTTCCTAGTTGCAGATATTCCAAGTGTTTCAGTCATATCCAGATCCTCCGGTTGTTGTCCATAAGGAAGTTTCCAATCGAAGTGATAAAGCAACTGTGCTAGCGGATACACAACATTAGCTAAACCAAAATGCATTCCTGGACACATCCTGCTTCCTGCACCAAACGGAATATACTGAAAATGATTTCCGTTAAAATCCACACAACTGTTTTCAAATCTCTCTGGCACAAAAGTTTCAGGGTCGTCCCAACTTTCAGGATCTCTTGCAATAGCCCAACCGTTAACTATCACTTGGGCTCTAAGAGGAATAGTGTATCCATCAATTTGTGTTTCCTCTCTGCATTGCCTAAGGCCTAAAAGAGGAGATGCAGGGTGTAACCGTAGTGTTTCATTGATCACTAACTTCAGATACTTCAACTCTTCGACATCATTGTCATTCAAATCTTTCTTCCCTTTACAGACACATCTCACTTCTGCCTGTGCTTTGGTCATGACATTCGGGTTCTTCATCAGTTCAGACAACGCCCATTGTATTATTACTGATGAAGTTTCAGTTCCCCCGAAGAACAGGTCCTACAACATTGAAGCTCAGCTATTAATATATGATTTTGACAAATGATGAAACTAACAAAAACTACCACTTGAGGTAGCTAGGAACTTAAGAAATTAAAACCTTTGTACATCCCATTTTATGTAACATTATGCCACTACATGGAGTTTAAGAAACAAAAGAACGACTTCCCATTTGTTCTAGCCTTGGTGGACAGAGTTACCTAGTATCTGTTTCTGGTGGCAGGTATTCCGTGGAATTAGTCAAGGTGCGCGTAAGCTGACCCAGACACTACATTTATCAATAAAAGATAAATATACCAACAACTAAACGAAAGATGGTAATATTTCCACATGTTTCTTAATCTGTTCCTCTCCTTATAACAGAAATAGCTATTATATCAAACGGTTAAAACATGAGAGAGGTAATATGTGCATGATTTTTAGATTAAGAAACTTGCAGTCTTTTTTCGTTCGTCTTAGTGTATGTGGCACAATAAGTGTAAACATGAACAAGATTCTAAATGAATGATTGTTTTGATGAGATAAGAACCAAACTTACTAGAATGACTGCTTTGATGTTGTTGTTTGTGATTGGAAATCGAAGTTCACCATTCTCCATAACCCTGAGTAAAACGTCGATCAAATCTTCACCCCCAAACTCACCCCGACCCTTTTCCTCTTTATGTTCATGAATAATTTTCTCCAAGACTACATCAATCTTCTTATGCATACTCATCAATCTGCTTCTCGTTCCACTAATTTCGCGAAGTAATGTCCAAGAAGGAAAGAAATCATACACATTAAATCCGCCTGATATGGCTAGTACTTCCCTCATGAGCATCAACAGATTATCTCTATCATCCCATAC